CAGGAGTCGGAGGCTGCGGTGAGACGTGATTACGCCAATGCACTCCAGCCTGAGTGAGAGAGAGACCCTGTCTCAAAGAAAAATAAAAGTAAAACGGCAGCTCTTTCTAAGCACTCACTGCATGGCAGGCCCCGCGTTCAGGTTTCAAGGGCATCACTCCATTTTATCACCCTAGCAATCTGTGAGGAAAGCACTGCCATGATTCCCATTTTACAGAGGAACACGGAAACAGACCAATGAGAGCATGTCCTGCGAGCCACGGGGGCGGGACCTCAAGGGTCCCGGATTCAAACCCCAGCAACTCTTCTGCTCAACCAAGGGACAGACCAGGCTTGCAGGGGAAATGCCAAGGCGACAGGCTGCTCCTAAATGCCGTGCTCAGAAAACAACCTGCAAAGGGATTCAGAAGCCAAGGAAAGCTGAGAAAAGGAGCGCAAGAGGCCCATGGTTAGGTCACGGCACCCGCTGGGCCTCTGAAGATTAATCCTGTTTAGAGACACAGCATGTGGTGTTCATTTTCCCACTGCAGTCCTGAAAAGATCCAGCGAAAGGCTAAAGTCTCCCGCCCCAACACAGCAAGAGGCAAGCACGGCTGGCAGGGGCATGAGGTGAGAGGAAGGCAGCCGGAGCCAGCATCGCGTGGGTGGTGACGCGCCCTGGCATGCTGCTGGCTGGGCTGCACCCCACCCTGCCCCCTGGCTCAGCAGAGCTAAGAATACAGCCCAGTAACATCACAGGGACAACTTCCAGACTTATCCCCAACACCCAGGAGGCCGTCTTGCTCTGTCCAGGCAGGTACCACAAATCCTCACATCCAAGATGCAGAACTGAACACCTTGATAAGGAATGGAGACGAGACGAAGTACATGCACAACTAAGTCTCCTGGGGGGTTTTTTGTTTGTTTTTGGAGACAGAGTCTTGCTGTGTCTCCCAGCTGGAGTGCAATGGTGTGACCATAGCTCATTACAGCTTTGAATTTCCAGGCTCAAGTGATCCTCCCACCTCAGTTTCTCAGGCATCTGAGACTAGAGGTGCACACCACCAAGCCTGGTTAATTTTTGTATTTTTTTTCAGAGACAGGGTCTTGCTGTGTGCCCAGTCTGACCTCAAGCTCCTGGAGCTCAAATGATCCTCCCACCTCGGGCTCCCAAAATGCTGGGATTACAGGCCCCAGCCACTGTGCCCAGCCCTGAGACTCTAAACAGGACTTTAATGCTGAAAAGAAAGCAGGGGTCAGGCAGCCCATCACAGGTGCCCAAATGTCAGCAGCAAGCAGCTGGCTCCAACCTGCTTTCGCCCCCACTCTCCCAAGCACCATGAGGCCTCTCATGGCGTACCCTCCCTATGAAGCTGACACTCGTCCGCATCTTCTCCTTCCAGCCCTGGCTATCTTTGCAAAGTTTCCCCAGACATTTCCTCTCATCAGACTCTCCTGATTCACTAAACCCCTTGGTCACATTCCAGGATTTTGTGAGGGTCAGGCACGTGCTGGGCATAGGATGTGTCTGGAGACATTACACACAGCATTCATCCATTTATGGAGCACGGTTCCTAGGGCTTAGGGCCCAGCAGCGAACAGTGGGGACCAAGGGCTGGCCCTCCGGGAGCTGAGAGCCTAAAAAGAGACAGATGATAAAGAAGGGAGAGGATATGAAGACATGTGTGATGAAAAGGACTCAGAGAAGAAGCAGGCCTTGCTGAGGATGGGTATTTAAATACAGGATTGAGCCATTATAGGCACAGTGGCTCATGCCTACAATCCCGGCACTTTGGGAGGCCAAGGCAGATGGATCACTTGAGACCAGGAGTTTGAGACCAGCTTGGCCAACGGAGCAAAACACTGTCTCTACTAAAACTACAAAATTTAGCCAGCCGTAGTGGTACAGCCTGTAATCCCAGCTACTCAGGAGGCTGAGGCATGAAAATCCCTTGAACCCAGAAGGTGGAGGCTGCAGTGAGCCAAGATCACACCACTGCACTCCAGCCTGGGCAACAGAGTGAGACTCCATCTCAGTAAGAAATAAATAAATAAATACAGGGTGGAAGGAAACAAGAAAGTAAACCAAATGACCACCTGGAAGAAGAGCACACCAGGCAAAGAAAACAGCCAGTGCAAATATCCTAAGGTCAGACCAGGCCTGGCATGTCAGAGAAACTGCAGAGAGGCCAATAGTTCTCAGGAGTAACAAGCAGTGAGGACAGGGAGGAAGGTGGAAGGCGGGGAGGAGGCAGTCAGTGAGGGACCCACAGGCCACTCCAGGGATTTCTGACTTTGACTCAGAGTGACCTGAGGAACATGGTGTCATGATCTATGTTTTAACATGGTGCTTCTCAAGTGGGGGCAACTGTGTCCTGCAGGAGACATGTGACAGCATTTGGAAACATCCTGGGTTGTCCCAACTAGGGAAGCGGATAGTGCCGTTGGCATTTCATGGAAAAAGAGGAGGGATACTGCTTCACAGCTACGATGCAGAGGACAGCTGCCACAATAGGAGAAATATTGGCCCCAAATGTCAACAGACCCAAGGTTAAGCAGCCCTGTTTTATCAGAATCCATACCTGACCAAGCTTCTAGTCCATATCCCCAACACACCCCTCGTCAGATAGATGGGCCTTCAGCTCCTCACCCTGTAATACAAGGCCAGCAACTAAACCTGTTTCCACATCTGTAAAATGGGTAAACTAACATTATGTAAATAAGCACTTCATTAAACATGAGCCAGAGCATACAGGTGCTCAACAAATACCACTATTAAAACTTCCAGATCCACTTTTGCTGTGTCCCTCCACATTCTCTATTTGCTGAGACAAGGCCTCATTTTGTCAACCAGACTGGACTGCAGTGGCATGATCTCAGCTCAATGCAACCTCCACCTTCTGGGCTCAGGTGATCCTCCTGCCTCAGCCTCTTGAGTAGCTGAGACTACAGACACACACTATCACACTCAGCTAATTTTTGTATTTTTAGTAGAGATGGGATTTCACCATGTTGTCCAGGCTGGTCTCAAACTCCTGAGCTCAAGTGATCTGCCCGCCTCAGTCTCAGGTGGTGATGCCATCTGCCCTGCCACTAAGCTCCTGTTGTGCGGCTGGGTTCCTAACAGGTTTGCTACTGGTTCATGACCCAGGAGTTGGGGACCCCTGTCCTAGATGAACCAGGTGGGCCCAATGTAATCACACAGAATTATAAGGGACAAGAGGACAGTGAGAATATCTGAGTCAGAATGAAGATTTGAGGCCGGGTGCAGTGGCTCATGCCTGTAGTCCCAGCGCTTTGGGAGGCCAAGGTGGATGGATCACCTGAGATCAGGAGTTCAAGACCAGCCTGGCCAACAGGTTGAAACCACATCTCTACTAAAAATACAAAAATTAGCCAGGCCTGGTGGCAGGTGCCTGTAATCCCAGCTACACAGGAGGCTGAGGCAGGAGAATCACACCCAGCTCATTTTTGTATTTTTAGTAGATAGGGTTTCACCATCTTGGCCAAGCTGGTCTTGAATGCCTGACCTCATGATCCACTTGCCTCAGCCTCCCACAGTGCTGGATTTACAGGCATGAGCCACCACGCCCAACCAGGAATTAATTTTTTTTAATTTCACCTTAATAGGCAATATGTGACTCTTAAAAAAAAAGGCAGAGTCTCACTGTCACGCAGGCTAGAGTGCAGCGGCATGATCATGGCTCACTGCAGCCTCCAGCAATCCTCCCACCTCAGCCGTCCAGAAGGCTGGGACCACACCCAGCCAATTTTGGTGATTTTTGTAGAGAAGGGGTTTCTCCATCTCGCCCAGGCTGGTCTCACACTCCTGAGCTCAGGCGATCCTCTTACCTTAGGCTGCCGAAGTTCTGGGATTATAGGTGTGAGTCACACCGCACCTGGCCATAACGCAATTTTTTTAAAAATATGTATGTGTGGGGCTGAGCATGATGGCTCATGCCTGTAATCCCAGCACTTTGGGAGGCTGAGGTGGGTGGATCATAAGGTCAGGAGTTCGAGACCAGCCTGACCAACATAATGAAACCCCGTCTCTACTAAAAATTCCAAAAAAATTAGCCGGTCATGGTGGCACATGCCTGTAATCCCAGCTACTCAGGAGGCTGAGGCAGGAGAATTGCTTCAGCCTGAGAGGCAGAGGTTGTAGTGAGTCAAGCCACTGCACTTCACCCTGGGCAACAAGACCAAGACTTTGTCTCAAAAAAAAAAAAAAAAAAAAAAAATTTGTATATGTATGCATGTGTGTGCCTATGTTCATATAATACATATATGTCAAGGTAAATAGTAAAGTCTGCCCAAATGCAACCATTTCTTTTAGTTTCTCATGTATCCTTTTGGAATTCCTTACAATAACAGCAAATATAACTATGTAATTCTTACTTGTCCGCTTTTTTATACAGGTGGTATCATACCAAATACACCAAGTGGAGCTTCACATTTTCACTTAAAACAGAACCCCTTGGGCCAGGTGCGGTGGCTCACGCCTGTAATTCTAGCACTTTGGGAGGCCGAGGCAGGCAGATCATGAGGTCAGGAGGTTGAGACCAGCCTGGTCAACATATTGAAACCCCATCTCTACTAAAAATTAAAAAAAAAAATTATCTGGGAATGGTGGTGGGCGCCTGTAATCCCAGCTACTCCAGGCTGAGGCAGGAGAATCGCTTGAACCTGAGAGCTGAGACAGCGCCATTGCACTCCAGCCCAGGGAACGGTGCAAGACTCTGTCTCAAAAAAAAAAACAAAAAACAAAAAACAAAAAACTGGACCTTGGAGGCTGCCGCACATCTTTGCACGAAGGGCTCCTCGTCTTACTTCCTTCTGCCAGCATCCCACCCCACCACGGGACGGGTGGAACCCACTGTATTCACCCAGCCCCTACTGACTGCCCGCCACTTGGAAGGCTGCCAATCTGTTGCTATTCTAAACAATGAATGACACAACGAGTTCCCTTAGAAACTGCTTCTTAAGCTAAAGAAAACATGGAAATCCTGACCCACACACCAATCGGGCTTTGCTTAATGACTCCTAAGTCTCCAGGAGACAGATAAAAGGGAAAAGGCCCAGGTTAGTTTTGATGACCTGGAGACACGCGATGAGAAACAGAACAGTAATAAATGCAGACCCAGGCATCCCTAAGGGAATTTAGTCTTTAAAATATCACTAAAGGCTGGGCAGGGTAGCTCGTGCCTATAATTCCAGCACTTTAGGAGGCTGAGGTGGGAAGATCACTTGACGCCAGGAGTTCAAGAACAGACTGGCCAACATGATGAAACCCTGTCTCCACTAAAAATACCGTAAGTAGCCGGACATGGTAGTGGGCACCTGTAGTCCCAGCTACTTGGGAGGCTGAGACAAGAGGATTGCTTGAACCTGGGAAGTCAAGGCTGCAGTAAGCCATGATCATGTCACTGCTCTCCAGCCTGGGAGACAGAGCAAGACCCTGTCTCAAAACAAACAAACAAAAAGCGTGACATACCATCAGAAGACATGTGATTTGCTCAGTTGATTCCACACCCGATAAATACCTCTTTGCAGGACCTGGGTGAAAACCCCAGCCCCCAAATAAGGTTTCCTGACTCCCTTCGCAACTGCAGCCAGGGCACACCCTCAAAACACAGCCCCAATCCCATCACACTGTGCTGAAAACTATTCCGAGTTCTCAGAACTCTCAAGATAGATCACAATCCCCGCAACTGCAGCTTGTGGCTCCAGCCCAACTCACTGTTCCAGGACCCCTTCGTGACTCAGGGCCTTGACAGAGCAGGTTCCCACTACCTGGAGTCTTTTCCCCCATCACTACCCTGAACTGCAATGCAAGGGCATCAGAGCCCCCATAGAGTCCCCACTGGGGCACTGCCTAGTGGAGCTGTGAGAAGAAGGCCACCATCTTCCAGACTCCAGAATGGCAGATCCATACACAGCTTGCACCGTGCACCTGGAAAAGCCACAGATTCTCAACGCAAACCTGTGAAAGCAGCTGGAGGGGGGATGTATCCTGCAAAGCCACAGAGGCAGAGCTGCTCAAGGCCATAGGAGCCCACCTCTTGCATAAGCATGACCTGGATATGAGACACGAGTCAAAGGAGATCATTTCAGAGCTTTAAAATTTGACTGCTCTACTTGATTTTGGACTTGCAGGGGCCTGGAGCCCCTTCATTTTGGCCAAATATTCCCATTTGAAATGGGTATATTTACCCAATGCTTGTACTCCCATTGTATCTAGGAAGTAATTAACTTGCTTTCCATTTTACAGGCTCACAGACAGAAGGGACTTGCCTTGTCTCAGATGAGACTTTGGACTTGAACTTTTGGGTTAATGCTGGAATGAGCTAAGACTCTGGGAACTGTTGAAAGGCATGATTGTGTTTCGAAATATGAGGACATGAGATTTGGGATGGGCAAAATGATATGGTTTGTCTGTGAAATTATATGGTTTGGCTGTGGCCCCACCCAAATCTAACCTTGAATTATAGTTCCCATAATATCCCCACGTGTCGTGGGAGGAACCTGATGGGAGATAATTGAATCATGAGGCCTGTTAGTGAGTTCTCATGAGATCTGATGGTTTGATAAGGGGCTTCTCCTTCCTGCCACCATGTGAAGAAGGACATACGTGCCTCCCTTTCCACCATGAGTGCAAGCTTCCTGAGGCCTCCCAACCCCTGCAAAACTATGAGTCAATTAAACCTCTTTCCTTTATAAACCATCCAGTGTTGGGCAGTTCTTTATAGCAGTGTGAGAACAGACTAATACAGAGTCTCACTTTGTTGCTGAGGCTAGTCTCAATCTGGGCTCAAGCAGTCTTCCCACCTTGGCCTCCCAAACTGCTGAGATTACAGGCATGAGCCACCATACCTGGCCAATTTTTAAATACATATTACAAAAAAGACTATTTGCCCACTGCTGAGAGTAGTTGCTCTGTTTGCCCCTGGGCCTGCAAGACTAAAAATATGTATACCTAACCGTTCACAGAAAAAGCATGCCAACTCCTGCTGGAAGTCACACATTGTTGAAGACTGGCATTTTCCTATGTCTCCATCAGATATTTTATAGTTATTTTTTTGATGTCACACTCTCCCCAGACTGTCAGTTTCTTTAAGGCAGTGAATGCTCTGGTGCTGTCTCTCAATATATCACTACTCCCCACTCATTGTGCAAAATTCCTGGGGTGTGGCAAGCACTCAGGAAGTACCCATGCAATCGATGAATGGACATCAGAACAAGCCTCAGCAAAATGTCAATTTGGTGAAGCCAGCATTTGTGATCACAAGGCCAGGCACACACCACACACCACACCAGGTCTTAAATAAAAATAAGTAAGTAACGTGATAAAAATGTCTAATGTTGACTGTAGTCACTTTGAATATTGAATATAGTCACTCTGGAAGGACAAGGCAGGAGGAAAGCCAAGAAGGCTTTCTGGGCAACACAGTGAGACCCTGTCACTAAAAAATAAAACGTAAGAAGGGCTGAGGTGCTAAGATTTGCCAGCCAGGAGGCAGAAGACATGCACAATTCTGAATATACTAGACTGAGTTACACACTTTATAAATGCATCATATGGTATGTGAATTCTATCTCAGCAAAGCCATTTATTAAAAAGAGAGAGAATGAATAAGCCCCAGGGTATTTTGACTGTACACATTTTCCACCTTACACATACTGCCTTTAGACCTAAGGCCCTCCTCAAAAGAATAAATGCACTTAGACCTCACTTTATCAGCTCAGGAAAAGCATAGCTCATCTACACTACTTTGCATTCGTGAAAAAAATTTAAATGCTTATGTTTTCCTGTTGCTATTAATATGTTGCTTGTTACTAGGTGGCATGTCCCCTTAAACCCAAGGTTTCTCACCCTCAGCACTACTGACGTTTTACGCTGTGTTAAGTCTGTCCTGTGTATTAAAGGATGCTTATAGCATTCCTGACCCCCACCCAAAGTTGTGACAACAAAAATCTCTCTAGACATCACCAAACCTCCTCTGATAGGCAAAAACGCTCCCCATTGAGATCCACGGCTTAACATTTTTCTATATGGTCCCACTCTGCCACCAATACCTAGTGACTCTGAAGACCCAACCACCAGCCCACCCACTCATTTAAAAATTGGACCGAGTTTTGCTTGTATCAGGACTTGAACCAGAAACAACCCTCAAAAAGCTTAGAATCTTGAATATAAGGTAGGATGTGTACATAAATGACCATTACAAAAAGATTTTAAAATCACAAAGAATCATCCGGGAGATACATGTAAAAGGCAAGAGATATCCAGAAGAGTTTCACAAAGCAAAAAGAAAAACTCAGTATCCTTATTCACATGGCAAGGACAATACCTGCCTTTTTTTTTTTTTTGAAACATGGTTTTACTGTTTTCCAGGCTAGGAAGCAGTGGTGCAATCACAGTACACTGCAGCCTCAATCTCCTGAGCTCAGGAGATCCTTCCACCTCAGCCTCCCAAGTAGTTACAACCACAAGTGCATACCACCACACCCAGCTAAATATTTTTTAAGAGATGTGGTCTTGTCATGTTCCCCAGGCTGGTCTGGAACTCCTGGCCTCAAACAATCCTCCCAACTCAGCCTCCCAAAGTGCTGGGATTACTGGCATGAGCACCACATGCAGCCAACACCTGCTTTTCATCAGACACATTGTGAAGATGAAACTTACATATTTCATTTTCACTCCATTTGAAGTGGGTATTTTTTCCATTTTGCTGAGGAAGAGACTAAGGCACAGAGAGGTAAAGCAACTTGTCCAAGATTGCATAGTCTGTAGGTGGAAGAAAACTTCAACATAGGCAGGCTAGCTCGCTGCTGCATGTATTGCCTTCTTAATATGGATAAAATTGTTTATGTAACAATAAATGGGTACCAGTGACCACTCTATTCCTGGAAGTTGTTATTTCCACTTGAGAGGTCAAAGCAGGCTTCTTGAAGTGAGTAAGATGTAAGAAGGGTTGGCGGGGCATAGTGGCTCACACCTATAATTCCAGCACTTTAGAATGCCAAGATGGGAAGATCACTTGAGACCAGGAATTCAAGACCAGCCTGGCCAACTGAGACCTCCATCTCAAAGGGCCAAGGTGCTAAGATTTGCCAACACGGAAACAGGAGGGAACCTCACTCCAAGATGGACCAGAAGACAGTCACTGGGCAAGCTTAGAGGAAATAAGCACATTAAAATGGAAAGAGACAGAAGGGGAAAAAAAAAAAAAGAAAGAAAGAAAGAAATAGAATAGACTGGCCACAGTGGCTCATACCTCTGATCACAGTACTTTGGGAGACTGAGGCAGGAGGATCACTTGGGTCCAGGAGTTCTAGACCAGCCTGGGCAACATAGTGAGATTGCTACCTCTATTAAAAATAAAAATAAATAATAGGCTGGGTGCAGCGGCTCACACCTGTAATTGTAGCACTTTGGGAGGCCAAGGTGGGAGGATCACAAGATCAGGAGTTCAAGATCAGCCTAGCCAATATGGTGAAACCCCATCTCTACTAAAAAAAAAAAAAAAAACTCAAAATTTAGCCAGGCATGGTGATGCATGCGTGTAGTCTCAGGTACCCAAGAGGCTGAGGCAGAAGAATCACTTGAACCTAGGAGGCGGAGGTTGCAATGAGCTGAGATCACGCCACTATCCTCCAGCGTGGGTGACAGAGAGAGATTCTGTCTCAAAGACAGACAAATAAGTAAAAAATAAATAGGACGAAGAGCCAGAAGAGAACCAGAGAGCCAATACAGCTGGGAAGACAGGCCAGGGCCAGAACAAGTTAAGTGAAGGAAAATGAAACTTCACTTAGAATTCCTACCAGGAAAATGCTGCATCATGCAGACATTGCAAACGCTCCCAGAAGCTGTGAAACTCACAGGGAAATTTTCTGGCTTACCCTTTTCTTGAATATAGCTAAGAACAGGAAACTGGAAAAACCACTATCATCTTCAAACACTCCCTCCGAGACACCCCAGTCTCTACCACCAACTTTGCCCCCATCCCAGAGCCTTCCATCGCAAGGAGTGTCCTGGCTCACCCCATCACCCTGTCCTGTGCCAAACTGAAATCCTCACTCCCCATCCTGGCCAGCCAGCATCACAATGCAGATGGCCTGGGGCAGGGAGGGTCCAAGGGAGTGACCATGACTTGGCAGTCAATGGTACAGGCTCTGGGGCAGCAGATCTGGGCTCCAGTCCTCGTCCTACTACTTCCAGGCTGTGTGGCCTGGGGGAAGCCACCCAACCTCTCTGACCTTCAGTTCCCCTGTGTCAAATTAAAAGAAGAATGCCCATCTCTCCTGGCTATTGCATACAGCATTGGGAGGATACAGTACCGGCTGTGGGTTGAGTTTGCTGAGGTTACTTCTACCATAGTGCTATTGCTACTATGACTGTGGTCTTCATCACTGTGGAAGTAAACAGCTCCTGAAGCCATATCCAAAATGCTGAAGCCCCCCCAGCAGACTGACTAATCCTCCAGTCTCCAAGACTAGCCAAAGTCATCTGGCACAGCCTGTTGGAAAAGACTCCTCTCTGGCCCACCCCAGGGTGTTTATGGGGCAAGATGGAGCATGGGGTACCAGCCAGGCCCTGGAGTCAGACAGCCTGGGTTTCAGTCCAGTCTGGTCATTTACTAGCTGGGTGACTTCACCTCTCTCTGCCTTTCCCCACCCATAAGATGGAAATAACCCCAGTCCCTGCTTCACAGGGAGCTTGTCATGATTAAATCATCATTAGTACCTAAAAAGCATTAAGAACAGTCCCCTGGCACTTCAGAAGTGCCAAGGAAGCCTTAACAATCCACTGTTTCTCTATTGAGTTCTTTTTCTTTTCTTTTCTTTTCTTTTTTTTGAGACAGAGTTTTGCTCTTGTTGCCCAGGCTGGAGTACACTAGCGTGATCTCGGCCCACTGCAACCTCTGCCTCCTGGGCAATTCTCCCGTCTCAGCCTCCTAAGAAGTTGGGATTACAGGTATGTACCACCATGCCCGACTGATTTTACATTTTTAGTAGAGACAGGGTTTCACCATGTTGGCCAGACTGGTCTCAAACTCTTGCCTTCAGGTGATCTGCCTGCCTTTGTCTCCTAAAGTGCTGGTATTACAGGCGGGAGCCACTATGCCCAGCCTCTGCTGGGTTCTAAGTGTCTCTTTCCCAGCCTCTGTTGAGTTCTAAGTGTCTCTTTTCTCCTACCTGACATTTCCCCCAAAGCAAGACCACGCCCATTTAATGCTCTTGGTGCATAGAAAACAGGCTTATTAAATATACTCATTCAACAAATAAAAGGTAATGAAATCTATCTGAAGAGCAACCCAGAATGCATGCAGAGCAAACCCTAACCACGCATACCCTACTTTCACCCAACAATTCTACTTTACAGACAGGAGTCCAAGGGAAGTAACTCCAGCAAGAAAAGGAACAAGGTGTACAAGCTGGGCCATTTCACAATGGGGGGAAAAAAAACAAAACAGGAGCACTCCCAAGCACCTAAGAGCCAAGCAAACTGGGGCAGACAATCCCATTAAAAATGACCCAGCTGTCACACAACCAACTGCAGGACTTCCTGCACCCCAGGAGAGGCCACTCCTGAAAGTGACAGATAGCACTGGCCATAAGGCTTACTTTTTAGGCGAGAATTTTTAAACCAGGCATAAAAGCAGAACAAGAAATATAGCAGGAAACGTCCATGACTGCCTAAGGCTGTGCTTAAGGATGAGAAGAGGCCAGGGGCGGTGGCTGACAATCAATCCCAGCACTTTGGGAGGCCAAGGCAGGTGGATCACTTCAGGTCAGGAGGTCAAGGCCAACCTGGCCAACATGGTGAAACCCCATCTCTATTGAAAATATAAAAATCAGCCAGGCACTGTGGCTCATGCCTGTAATCCCAGCACTTTAGGAGGCTGAGGCAGGTGGATCACAAGGTCAGAAGTTCAAGACCAGCCCAGCCAAGATGGTGAAACCCTGTCTCTACTAAAAATACAAAAATTAGCTGGGCACAGTGACAGAGGATGAGACAGGAGAATCACTTGAATCCAGGTGGCAGAGGTTGCAGTAAGTCGAGACTGTGCCACTGTACTCCAGCTGGGGCAACAAAGTGAGACTCTGTCTCAAAGAACAAAAAATACAAAAATATAAAATTACCTGGGCACGGTGGCAAATGTTTGGAATCCCAGTGACTTGGAGGCTGAGGTGGGAGGATCACTTGAACCTGGGAGGCAGAGGCTACAGTGTGCCAAGATCACACCACTGCACTCCAGCCTGGGCAACAGAGTGAGACTCTGTCTCAAAAAAAAAAAAGAAACTAGAAGCCATTTTTATACTGCATTGATTCTAAGACTCTGTTTGTTCCTATTTTGGTATCTTGATATTTGTCTGTGTCTCTCCATCACCCCATCCTTTAAACATTGCTGGCTACATGTTTATATCCTAACATCCCTGAAACTGGAATCCATGTCACAAATGCTGGCCTCTTGGATTCCATCAAATGCAGCATATCTGTCTCAACAGCCTGGTCTCCTTCTCTGACTGCATGATTAAGGGATGGTGACGGGTTCTTTTCTAAGTTTACAGAATTAAGAAAGAAAAATTGAAAATTCCCTTGCTTCTTAGCCACGCCAACACAAAGAGACAGGCAGTCATCACACTCCCCACTCCCACTCTGTAATAGCTCAATTAACTTTAATGGGGGTGGTGAGCATAATTGTCAAGCTACCTTTGGGCAAACCTGCCAGCAGCCTGATCTCTGATCATCTCCACCTACCAATTGCCTTCTTGTCTCCACAAGGTCCAGGCCCAGGCCCAGGCCCAGGCCAGGTCATTTTTGCCAAACCGAGGCAGAGAGAAGAAATTAAAAAATAAATCTCCCGCTTGCCAGAGCACAGCCTTTTCCAAAGCACGTGGTCACCAAGAGACCATGATTTCCGCCAGGTCCCAGCAACACTCTGTCATGTTCTTTTAGAAGCACTCACGCAGGATTTGCCTGGCAAAAGGGCCATCGCTTCAACCACTTCAGTTTCAGGGTCAGTGAGCTGCAACCCCACCAGTCTCTGTAAAGGGCATATCTTGAATTCACATGCACATTCATTTTTTTGAGACAGGGTCTTGCTCTGTCACCCAAGCTGGAATACAGTGGTGCAATCATGGCTCACTGCAGCCTCAACCTCCCAGGTCCAAATGCTCCTCCTGCCTCTGCTTGCTGAGTAGCTTTGACCACGGGCATGCACAACCATAACTGGCTGATTTTTTTTTTTTTTTTGAGACGGAGTTTCACTCTTGTTACCCAGGCTGGAGTGCAATGGCACGATCTCGGCTCACCGCAACCTCCGCCTCCTGGGTTCAGGCAATTCTCCGGCCTCAGCCTCCTGAGTAGCTGAGATTACAGGCATGCACCACTATGCCCAGCTAATTTTTTGTATTTTTAGCAGAGACAGGGTTTTGCCATGTTGACCAGGATGGTCTCGATCTCTTGACCTCGTGATCCACCTGCCTCGGCCTCCCAAAGTGCTGGGATTACAGGCTTGAGCCACCGCACCCGGCCCCTTTTGCTAATTTTTTTGTAGAGATGGGCTCTCTATATTGCCGAGGCTGGTTTCAAACTCCTGGGCTCAAGCCATTCTCCAGCCTTGGACTCCCAAAGGGCTGGGATTACAGGCATGAGTCACCATTCATGGCCCACTTGAACATTTTGAACTGCATCACAGGACTGCCGGAGATCTGATATTATCTGTGAGAATGGGCCTTGAAAACCAACAAGCAGGCTACAGTGTTGCTGATAGTCACCCAGGAGAAAACACAATCGCAGCGGACATATTGAAGCATTACCCAAACATGGCTTGTACATACCTCTCGGCAGCAGGTGGATTGCACCCACGCCAGAGTTTCTCAACTGCAGTACCACTGACATTTGGGATCAGAGGATTTTTCACTGTGGGAGCCCATCCTGTACCGCAGATGTTTAGCACATCCCTGGCCTCTATAGGAGCACATTCCCTGCCCCATTACGACCACTAGAAGCGTTTCCAGACATTGCCAAATGTACCCTGGAGACAAAATCATCCAGAGTTAAGAACCGCTGACATAGGCAATTTAAAGAATATCGTTTTTTTCTTAGTAGTGATACTTTAAGAGCTACTAAGTAAATACATAAATATGACCAACCTGTGACTTCACAGCTATTATAAAGTGATATGAAATGTCCTTTTGCAATAACTTTGTTAAGCTTTAAAAAGTGAATTGATTGAAAGAAAGACGTTAACTGAGTGTGGTGGCTCATGCCTATCATCCCAGCACGTTGGGAGGCCGAGGTGGGCAGATGGGTTACACTCACAAGTTCAAGAGCAGCCTGGGCAACATAGCAAGACTCCATCTCTACAAATAACACAAAAATTAGCCGGGTGTGGTGGTGACTGCAGTAGGCTCAGCCACTCGGGAGGCTAAGGTGGGAGGATGGCTTGAGCCTAGGAGGCTGAGGTTGCAGGGAGCCAAGATCATGCCACCACACTCTAGCCTGGGTAATAGAGCCAGACCTTGTATCAAAAGAAAAAAAAAGTTAAGTAAGCTCTTTGAGGAAGACGCGGTCGTAGCTGCTGTGGATTTTTAGTCAGCACGCTCCTGCTCCTGACTCACCGCTGTTCGCTCTTGCCGAGGAACAAGTCGGTCAGGAAGCCGCGCAGCAGCCACGGCTTTTAAGGATACCGGAAAAACACCCGTGGAGCCGGAGGTGGCAATTCACCGAATTCGAATCACTCTCACAAGCCGCAACGTCAAGTCGCTGGAGAAGGTGTGTGCTGACTTGATCAGAGGAGCAAAGAAAAAGAATCTGAAAGTGAAAGGACCCGTTCGAATGCCTACGAAGACTTTGAGAATCACTACAAGAAAGACACCTTGTGGTGAAGGTTCTAAAACATGGGATCGTTTCCAGATGAGAATCCACAAGCGACTCATTGACTTGCACAGTCCTTCTGAGATTGTTAAGCAGATTACTTCCATTAGTATTGAGCCAGGAGTTGAGGTGGAAGTCACCATTGCAGATGCTTAAGTCAGTTATTTTAATAAAGTGATTACCAGTTGTTAAAAAAAAAAAAGTTAAGTAAATAAGTACGTGGTGGACAATATTGGCTGGCTTACTCAACAGTTTCTCCCTTGCTGTTTCCTCCTAGAGAAGCATAAAACCAAATGCTTGCTTTTCCTGCCTCTCTTGCAGCTATCAGTGGTCCTGTAATCCAGTTCCACCCAAGGAGACGTGAGCACAAGTCTGCAGTGTAAAGAGGAGCCTTTGGGGAAGGTGTGACCCTTCCCTCTTCCTAACTTGAAGCCACACATGTTGGTTAGGGCTGCAGCAGCCATTTAGGGGCCTTGAGGAAAAGACAATGTAAACAGCAGAGATGTCAGTCCTAACAGCCCTGCCTCACTAATCCAATGCCAGCAACTCCAAGAGGTACTGGAATTTCTGACATGTAAAAAAATAAACAAATAAATACCTTTCTGCTTAGGCTGCTGGAGTCGAGCTGTTCCTTGAAGCCAAATGCAATCCTAACAGACGTGAGGTATGAGATAATGTCAAAATGACTAGACTCAAACAACTGAGGTGCAAAACAGCTGGAGAGAGCAGGCTTTGAGTCAAACTGCTGGGTTTGAATACTGCGCCATCCCTGGCTAGCAATATAATCCTGGGCATGTTTAAATGTATCGCACTTTCCCCATCTAAAATAAAGAGTTACTGCACCCCCCGCCAGCCTGACTACGTGCCCGAAACAAGGTATGCACAGAGAGGGCTGAGCATGCCACACAACAGAGTACCCTCAATGCACGTTATTTTATTTATAAAATAAACTTTTGGGGGTTCCCTCTCTTGGCTTTGGAGCTCCCCTCCCTCTGCCTCTGTACAGGGGAGTTTCCTCCTTCTCCCTTCCTTCTTGACAATTATACTGTCCGCTCCTCAAAACCACTCCACATGTGTCCATGTGGTTTTATCTAAACCAACATGAGGACAAAGAACCCTGGTGTTCCTCCATGCATCGGAGCCGTATCATTTTGGTGCATTGGCTGGGAAAGGAAATTCATTCATTAGACTGAAGCAATCAAACTCCAAATGGTGCTGTAAACTGAACTGCACACGGACACACCATTCTTCCAAGGACCCTTAGATCGACCCCAGGAGGAGCCCTAGCTGCTGTTTCCCATTCGATGTCCCTTTTCACCAGGAAGTAGCCAGAAGAAGTCATTGCCCCAAACCCCTAACAGCAGTTAGTGTGCCCCCACCGCAAGGGGAATGTTGTAGAAGTTATTAAGAAATTATTTTAGGCAGATAGAGAGGAAAGAGGGTCCTTGGGAAGTTTTCGTTTTTTATTTTTTTTACTTTTTCCAGTCCCTTCAGTAAGAAGTTTCCATTTTTTAAAGCATCTCCGGAGAAGTTTCTTGCAAAGTCCGGCTCTTAGAGCCAGGCCGACAATCTTTGATGTGCAAATGCAAGCCATTAGAAACTGGGTCCACCCAAACATAGCGATTACGCCATGTGTTCCTGGCAACATGGCCACCCCCACATATTCCCATGTGTGTAGAACATCATGGTATCCTACATTTGCGTATTAAAAGGCTAGGGTGGGAGGGCTAAGTGAATGACATGCCTAGTCAAACCAATCCCCTGAGCTCTAAGCAAATCAGACACCACCTCTTCCAGCCTCTGTATATATACCTAGCTGGTATCTGTGGCAGATGGGGTTCCCCGCTCCCTCTGTTTCCTTACAGGGGAGCTTCTTCCTTCTCCCTTCCCTCTTAACCCTTCTTGCCTATTAAACTCGCCACTCCTCTAAATAAATAAACTCTGACCAAAGTCAGGCAACTAAGATGGGGATAAGGCAAAGACTAGAACTGATTTAGTCACTGGTTCTTTCCAACACTTGAGAGGGAAGTTGTCTTTAAGGATTGAGTTGTAGTCCAGGTGTGATGGCGCACACCTGTAATCTCAATACTTTGGGAGGCTGAAGCAGGAGGACTGCTTGAACCCAGGGATTTGAAAGCCTAGGCCACACAGGGAGACCTCACCTCTACAAATTAAAGTATAGATACAATTTTAAAGAAAGAACTGTGTTGTATACATCCCTGTCTTCAAGCTAATGTCTAAGCAAGGTGGGGGGGGAAGGAGCCACCAAGGCTTCCCGCAGGATCCAGGTCTGCAAGCCCAATTCTCAGCCTCCTTGTGGTTCCCTTTTCTCCTCCTGACTCTTTAAGCTCCAGCCACAGTGGCCTTTCTCATTAAGGCAGTGCTTCTGCACATGCATTTCCCACTGCCTAGAACATTCTTACCTTCTGCTTTTGCCTATGTAGCAAACTGTTAGCTGTGCTCCAGTATCAAACCCTCCCTCATCGCTGAGTAACGATGTCTTCAGCTGGGCACATCCAGCTTAGAAAGGAAACTACATTTCCCAGCCTCCTTTGCAGCTAGAGGTACCACATGACTAGGTGTGAGTTAATGGAATGTGATGAGCAGAGATGTGGGCAACCTTCAGGTTGTGCCCTTCCTCTGCTTTCCTACTGGCTGCCATGTGGACATGCAGGTGCGCCATCTTGATCCACACAGATGAGGGCAGCAAAGCAACAAGATGGGAAGGGCCTGGGCCCCTGACCATTTTGGGGACAGAACTGCCAAACCAGCTGGCATTTTTACATGACAGAAATGAGCTTATATCTTAAGCCACCGTATTTGGGGTCTTTGCCACACATAGCCAAACCTGTATCATCAAATGGGTTCCCTACCTAAGGAGTCTCCTCTTTTCTCTCCAACCACATCAAACCCCGCTATTGCACTCACCAGGCACCACACAGCTCCCCTTCACAGCACTTGCTGATGACTGTCCATTTATTTGGCCGTTTCCCCCACAAGACTAGCACTCAAGGCAGGCAAGGAACCATGCTCTGTGCACTGCTGGATTCCCAGCAGGGAGCCCAAGTAAAGGCTATTCAGGACCTCAGAGATTGTCACCTAAATGGGACCAGCCAGGCCATGTGACCAATTCACGGGCACCAACTCTCAGAGATTCCTACCTCCTGCAAAGAGCTCCTAAGAGAATCTAAGACACCCACTCAACGAAGTCTTGCCTCAAATTTCCCCAGGACCCACATGTACACAGAGGTTAAAAAAACTGTGGGCCAGGTGTGGTGGCTCATGCCTGTAATCCCAGCACTCTGGGAGGCTGAGGCAGATCACCTGAGGTTAAAAGTTCAAGACTAGCCTGACCAACATGGCGAAACCCCATCTCCAGTAAAAATACAAAAATTAACTGGGTGTGGTGGCACATGCCTGTAATCCCAGCTACTTAGGAGGCTGAAGCAGGAGAATCACTTGAACTGCCTCAATGAGCTGAGATCATGCACTGCACTCCAGCCTAGGCAACAATAGAGAAACTCCGTCTCCAAAAAAAAAAGACTGACCAACTGCCTAAAGAGGAAACAAATATCCACAAATACTTGGATTCATGTTACATTTCATCTGCAATTAAATATTGGTTAATTAACAAAAATGCATCGTAACCAAGATGCACCAGTCCATGCAAACAATAAATAAAGACTATGTTTTTTGTTTTTTTTTGAGATACAGTGTTGCTCTGTCACCCAGGCTGGAGTGCAGTGGCATGATCTTGGCTCGCTGCAACTTCCACGTACCATGTTCAAGTGATCCTCATGCCTCAGTCTTCCCAGTAACTGTGATTACAGGCAAGTGCCACCGTGTCTGGCTAATTTTTACATTTTTAGTAGAGATGGGGTTTCACCAAGTTGGCCAGGGTGGTCTCGAACTGCTGACCTCAAGTGATCCGCCCAAAGTACTCGGATTATAGATGTGAGCCACCACGACTGACTGACTGTTTTCAATGAAAAAAAAAAAATTAGCCAGGCATGATGATGAGCACCTGTGGTCCCAACTACTCTGGAGGCTAAGGTGGGAGGATTGCTTGAGCCTGGGAGGTCATGACTGCAGTTAAAAAAAAAACTGTGGGCCCGGTGTGGTGGCTCATGCCTGTAAGCCCAGCACTCTGGGAGGCTGAGGTGGATCACCTGAGGTTAAAAGTTCAAGACTAGCCTGACCAACATAGCTAAACCCCATCTCTACTAAAAATACAAAAATTAACTGGATGTGGTGGCACATGCCTCTAATCCCAGCTACTCAGGAGGCTGAAGCAGGAGAATCACTTGAACTGCCTCAATGAGCTGAGATCATGCACTGCACTCCAGCCTAGGCAACAATAGCCATGATCGTGCCCCTGCACTCTAGCCTGAGCAACAGAGGAGACCCTATCTCAAAAAATAATAATAATATGTTTTTGTAGTATCCCATTCTTGTTTTTAAAAAATACTATATATTTATGGCCAGGAATGGTGGCTCAGACCTGTAATCACAGCACTTTGGGAGGCAGAGGCAGGCAAATAACTTGAGATCATGAGTTTGAGACCAACCTGGCCAAAACTGTGAAATCCCATCTCTACTAAAAATTAGTTGGAAGTCGTGGTACACGCCTGTAGTCCTAACTACTCAAGTGACAGAGACTGCAATGAGCAGAGATCACACCACTGCACTCCAGCCTGGGCAACAGAATGAGACTCTGTCTCAAAAGAAAAAAAACTATAGATTTAGGATCTGTGAAGAAGAGAGGCTGAAGTTAAAAACATCAACCTGCCAGTAAGATTATCTCTAGAAGAGGCCAGGCATGGTGGCTCGTGCCAGTAATCCCAGCACTTTGGGAGGCTGGGTGGGCAGATCACCTGAGGTCAGGAGCTTGAGACTAGCCTGGCTAACACGGCAAAACCAGGTCTCTACTAAAAATATAAAAATTAGCCAGGCGTAATGGTGCATGGTGCACACCTGTGATCCCAGCTACTCTGGAGCTGAGGCAGGGGAATCGCTTGAACCTGGGAAGTGGAGGTTGCAGTGAGCTGAGATGACGCCACTGCACTCCAGACTGGGTGACGGAGCAAGAGTCCATCTAGAAAACAAAACAAAAAGTATCACTAGAAGAGATTTACATGTTTTACTCATTTCTGCACTGTTTTCGTTCTATACTGTACCCCTTATAACAACAGACAAAAAAGA